GTGTGTGTGTGTGTGTGTGTGTGTGTGTGTGTGTGTGTGTGTGTGTGTGTGTGTGTGAATTCCCCTTGGGCTTATAAAACCTCAAATTCTTTGGGGGCTAAAATCTGAGATGCTGCTGTCTGGCAAGCTTACAAATTCTCCTGATTTGGGAACGATGTTTTGTTTTGTTTTTGATCAAAGGTTGGCTAGCCTTTTCGGTCAAGGGCTAGCAAGAACTGTTTCAGGCTTTATGGACCAAAATCATGCATGCTCAGCCTTTTGACATTATGCCATACTATGGTCACATATGAAGTTCAGGCTCACAAAAACAACAAACAGACAATAAACAAACTGGCAACGTTTTAATTAGGTTGACTTTGTGTTGGGCTAGCCATGTTCAAAGCTACATGGGGTGCGTGTGGCCTGTGGCACAGATGTACATGCTAATTAGGTCATTTGTAACTGTTCGACTCTGCCAGCAGCCATAAACAATATTCAAATGCAGGGCATGAGTGTGTTCCTAATAAAGCTTTATTTACACAAACAAGCAGAGGGCCAAATTTGACCCATGAAGCCTAGTTTGCCTGACCACTTGTTGAAATGATTCCTCAAAGAACTTGGACTTGTGAACCATGGTTTACTTTGCTGCTGTGATAAAGGTTTATTCTGATTTATCTTAAGTAAGAGCTTGCTGGTATGACGGGCTCATGTGGCACAGGATGCTACAGAAATAATTGAATATGAAGGTAATATACGAGTGTTAGCCTCAGAGATCTTGTTTGTTCTTATTTGAAAAGACAAAACATGCAAGATGCGTGTAAAGCCATCCGCAGGTGAGAGCCTTCAGAGTCAGTGCGTGGTCGGCCTTTAGGTAGACCCAGCAGTGATTTGCCAGGCTGAGAAGATACGGCCGTTGGGGGGATTCAGGGAGAGGTTGGGAGCAGGGTTTGCTTTATGGTCCCCCATCTCTGTGGCAGTCACAGTCTCCGCACACTGAGGAGGTCTGGACACCAACTGGAAACTAGTTTGAGGAAGTGGGGCTCACACTCAGGGCTTCCCTGGCGTGCCCCCTTTATATAGGACAATGTTAGGAAGCCAGGTGTGAGCTACAGAGCCCCTCCCACCTGTCCATCTTAGCCAATGCTGCTGACAGTTGTCCTTCCTGTGACACTCACTCATCACTATCCCCAGAGCACACACTGACAGCGAAGACCATTCCGCCGTCTCTTCACCCTTGTCACATGGCTGCTGCTTGGCTTTTGGTCACGGGGCTGAGTGCAACTGTGAGCAGCTCTGAGCTGGTTGTTTTGCATCTCTCCAGGGACCAGTGGTTACACTTTACCAAGGACCACATCCCGTAACTGTTGTTCCCAGGAGTCAGCCAAACCAAGGGAGCCCCAGGCAAGAGAGGTGACAGCTCTGGGATGCCACACAGCAGAAATTTAGGCAGATTGCAACAAGGCTGACATGGGAGCCACATGGAACCCTGTGTGGTGAAGCAGTGTGTCAGGCCTGGACCCTGGCACAGCGCCTTTGAGGAGCCGACCAGATGGCTCCAGGGCCATTGGGTCTCCCTGAGGACTTGGATCAATGCAGACCTTGTGGCTGGCCTCAGCCTAGAGTTCTGTTTATTTTCCTTTGACCTCAAGGTCTGGCTCCAGACAAGGGAATTTGAGGTTTTATTGTTTTAACCTAAGCTAGTTTTCATTTGAAATGTTGGGTCTGATTTTTTTTTTTTTCAAATCATCAGAGGATAGGATTTCTTTGGAAGTGTCCCTAAGGACCTTTTCACAAGCACCAGGGCCTGCTCTAGCCAGCCCTTCATCTGCTTGGCCTCTAACCTAGCCATTATTATCACTGTTAATATCAAAGGTGGTGACAATGATGATTCATAATAGAAAATACAGTTTCAGAGGATGGCTCCCTCCCGACAATCCACATGACCAAAGGAGAAAACTGACCGACAGAAGCTGTCCACCCTCATGTAGGCTATGGCTGTATATGACTCCCAAAACTTCCCCACAAAGTTAATTAAGTAATGAATTAAGAGTAAAATCAGTAGAGGATCAGAGGATACAGGAAACCAAAATTTACAAAACTATTAAAGTGCTGAAACATGTTATGAAGCAGAAATAGTCTTTTGAATTACAATCCTCCCAAGGAGCATTTAAAAAGTATTTTTATTAAGGGGGGTGGCTAAAAAAAAGATAGGGGAGCTGGAGAGATGACTCAGTTACGAGCATTCACCTTCTTCCAGAAGACCAGACAGTTCAGTTCCCAGCACCCAGTCACAACTGCCTGTATCCAGCTCCAGGGCACCAGACGCCCTCTGCTGGCCCCTGCAGGCCCCTGCACTCATGTGCACATACTTACACAAAAATGAGGGACACATGCAAATACTCATAATTAACATTAAAGTTCTTAAAATAACAATGTTAGATTTGACCAATACATACATAGCTCTGAAGTTCAAGTGGGCCTCAGACACAGGAGCCCAGTGCTTTTTTTTTTTTTTCCCAGAATAATTAGTACACAACTCACAGCTCACAGGCAAAGTACATTGCCAAGGGTCCTTTGTGCCACTACAAGGGACTCAGTGGTTTTCTGTGGTCTCAGTGGTTTCCTGGGTGATGAGCAAAGGTTCCCTGGGAACTTATGGTCAAGCAGTGTTTCTCAACCTGTGGGTCACAACCCCTTTGAGCATCAACCAGCTGTTTCACAGGAGTTGCCTAAGACCATCTACACATCAGATATTTACATGATTCATAATTGTAATTCGGAAGTAGAAACAAAGAGAACTTTACAGTTGGGGGTCACCACAACATGAGGAGCTGTATTAAAGGGGTACAACGTTAGGAAGGTTGAGAGCCGCTGGTCTAGAGGGAGAGGGGTCTTCTTTGTACACTCAGCTGGTGTAGGGCAAAGCCAGAAACTGACTGGGAGATCTGCCTTGGCCGTTTTCTGTTAGTTTATAGGGAGAATGGGACTGGGTGATGTGTAAATAATAGAAGTTCCTTTGGCTCTGTGATCGGGAGGCTGGAGAAGTTCAAGGGCGTGGTGCAAGGATCGGGCCTCTATGAGGGCCTCGTGCTACACGGCGCCACAACAGGAAGGGCCTTACACAGTGAGGGCCCTGGTCTCTCTTCTTGGTGCAGCACAGCATTGTGTGACAGATTTTCCCTGTAGAGACCTTCCCCTCCCGCCTCACCTCTGAAAGGCAATCCACAACAAACCAAAATAATGACTGGGCCAAAGAACAACTTGGTGGACCAGTGACTGTTGGTTATGGTTCCTTCTGGAGTATAGATGAGGGTCATAAGCAGCCGAGATGACTTGGAACAGCAGTTGCACCCCTGAAAAGCCTACGCCAGCGTAGGTGGCAACGGAAGGGGTCTGCAGCCCTGGGCTCTGAGAAGTCCCCTCCCCCAAGGTCCCTTCCCCCAGCAGCTTTACTCCTTTTCTAAAACTGGGAGGGGCTTCCAGAATCTTCCTAGTTTCACTTTCCCAGACAAGGGACTTCTCCTTTACCTCCTGAATCACATAAATCTTCTGCTCCCTCTTGGAGAAGAGTTTTCAATTCCAGGAGACTGCTGTGGGGCACACGAACGCTCTTCCCTCTTGGCTTCATCTAGTCTAAGAAGCTACCTGAAGCCTACCCCTGAATTCCACGCACATGGCTTTCGGGAGTTACATTTCCAACACACGTATTCTAGGGACTATATAAACCACAGCAGCTCCCTCCAGTGACAGAGGGCCTCAGCAGAGCAGGTGGGACACTAAAGATCACTGGCTGGCAGAGACAAGGGCAGCGAGGAGAGTCCGCAGCCGGTGGACACTGGCCTTTCCTGAGGCCCTAATTTGGCCAAGGCACATCTTTATCCAAATTCTTTCTCCATCCCTCCTTTGGATCTTGTTATCTGGATGGTGGCTTTGAAACTGAGCCCACTGAGCAAGGCTTCCAGCCGCTTCTGCCAACAGGCACTTCCTGAAGCTGAGGTCCCCCTCTTTGCCCCTTAGACCTGCTTGATAAACTAGATGTTTCTCTCTCCCACCTTACCCCACCCCCACAGTCACGCCATCAGATATCCTCTGTGAATGTTCCAGGGCTTCTGCCCCGAGACATCTTCATTCAAGAGCAAAGAAAGGGTTAAGAATCACTGAGCTTTCATGGTTTTGAGGGCTGTGGTCAGGGCAAGGAGATGACTAGAAAATGGGAATCAGATGCCTTATGGGGGCTGCCAGGCTGGGATTTGTTGCACACAGTTAAATAGCTTTCTTTACCCTCTGCTCTTTGTGAGTATGTTGGTACCCATCTCCAGCTAGCTGGCCCTCACCACTCGGAAACCGAAGCACACATGCTCGCGTGTATTCGTTACTGGCAAACACGACAATGCTCACCCTCCACCATCCAAAAGAATTCTCAAGAGAGGCCAGAAGCCAATGCTTTGTGGGTACCTGTGACGGAGAAGCTGCTAGTTTAGTGATAAAATATGTGTGGGCTCTGCCTGGTCCCTCTCGGGGCGAATCTTTCTTCGTGTCATTTGAAAGTGGCCTCATGGTGAATTATGTCATTTCTTCCTTAGGACAGCTCCTCTGTCATCCAGTTCATGGCTCGAGCCAAGGTGAAGGTGGATCCTTCACTGAGAGTGGTGGAGATAGCCAACGGGAACCCAGAAGAGACGCTGGTGAGTCGGCTGTGCCAGGACAGCTCTGCTCAGAGGATTGGGGCTTGGCACTGGGATCTGAGGGGAAGATGAAGGGTTTGTGGTAGACCCAAAGCTATGGCTGCCTTGGCTTCCAGGGCCCCCAGAAGGCCTCAGGGTTCTATTGTTGCTGGGATGCTGCTGGTATGTGAAAGTTTCTTGTAGTGATTGGCCAAAGGAAAAACTGTCTGGAAGCATCAACGGGGCTTAGAGTTCTACTCTGAAGCCAGGGTCATTTTTATCTCTCTTGGGCCCTTCCCTAAAATCCCTTCTGCTCTCCTGTTGTTCCATGGATAAGCACGGGGGTGGGATGGGGGCACTTAAACAATGGCTTGGTTGTCTTAAAGAGGTGATGTCAAATCGCCAAGACCTAGAACCTTCTCTCTCACTCTCTTCTTCCATGTCTTCCTTAAAGTTTCAGGCTTCAGACTGGGCAGTCAACCTCATGGGTTAGCCCTCCAGTGAGGGAGAGGCTGGACAGAAAAGCCTTGGAATTCTGCAGTTTTTCCTTGTTCCTGGGGAGGGAAGGGTTATCCACTGTTTGACACCCTCCTAATCCCAGTCCCAGGGGAATAGAGGGGGAAGTTCGCCAATGGACTGCTCTGCTGGGGGCTGTGCAACCTGCTGCGCCTTCATATTTCCTCCCACAAATGTTACCTTCTCTCCAGGGAGTCTGGCCCTTTCTCAGAGAATTTGTGTTGCTTTAACAAACTTATGAAGTCAACTCAAGAAGAATTATGCACTTAGACAGAAAGAAAAATGTTCATTTATTTTCTAACCACAGCAGAGGCACACCATTTCATAATACTGGGATGTGAGGGGCTGGGACTACGGTTCAGTCAGTGAAGAGCTTGCTGTGCAAGGGTGGCAAATAGAAGTTCCAGTTCCTATAACCTCTGTAAGAAGCCAGATGTGGCAGTACACACCTGCAATCCTGGCGCTGGGAAGTGCAGAGAAGCAGATCCCTGGAGCTTCACGGCCAGCCATCCTAGCTCGAGCAGGGAGCGCTGGGGTCAAGGACATCCCACCCTGTTCTCATTTCCTGTAGGTATATCATGAGAACAGCAGCCAGTCTGGGATGGGGGTCGGCCATCCCGTGACTGGTGCAGGGATGGATGATAGGCCTGACTTCTCTTCACGTGGAAACTCAAGCGAAACGCAAGTCCTCCACTACTTAGGCTCAGTTTTTCTGAGGGTCAAATATTTGGGGTTGGCACTTGCATTCTGGCCGCTTGGCAGCTGGCTCAGCGGTTCACCTGGAAAGTGAGAGTGGTGGTCCCTGCTCACTGTCATGGCAGCGGTTAAAGAGCACGATAGAATGGAACATGCCCAACATCCGAGGCTTAGGACGTGCAGAGAAACCATGGTGTCAACACTGGAGCACCAACGGAAACGGTTAACAGTGTGCAAAGGATGAAGGCACTTGTGCCGGTGGAGAGAAGGTGTGGGATGCATTGCCTGCACCCTGGGATGCAGGGAGGCTCCGAGTCACCAACCCTTCTGCTCTGAGAGCTGTGGCTCTCTCTCTCCCTGTCAAGTCTTGGCAAGAAGCTCTTGTTGGGCTTTTGTTTCTTTTTCTTCCTTTCTTCCTTCCTTCCTTTCTTCCTTCCTTCCTTTCTTTCTCCCCACAGGGAGGGGAAGGATCTGGAGATGAACCCCAGGAGTCCTCCTTGAAGGCTCCTCCCAGCACTGCCTTTTTGGTCCACAAACTAAGATTCAGTTCTGCAGTGTGTTCTCAACTTTCCTAGTAGGGGAAAAAAGCTCGAGTAGAAAGACTTCTGGTTTTAGAACAAGTATGTATCCTCACCCCGTGGGATTCTTCAGAGCGCCTGGCTCCTATCAACTGTCCTTCTGAAGCGGGATTTCCACAGAGGCCTGGAGGCCTGGTCTGGGCCACTGGCCCTGAGCGGCAGAGTGAAGGAGTCAGCATGTCGCCACACTGTGTGCTCTGTACATTGCCTTCCCTCTTCTGCTCATTCTCCCCCCACACTCCATTTGTTTCTAAGCTGTGGTGTGGCTTTCTTAGACACTGTAGGCCACTTGAATCACTCACAGATGAATTTATTGCAATCTGGATATAAGAGGCAGATCTGCCAAGGTCTAGAGCTCACATCCAAGAGGACCAAGGACATCGCTGAGAAAAAAAAAAAAAAGAAGCAAAGACACAAAGTAACATTCCAGGGACATGACAGGGCATTCTTACGAAATTTGCCAGACTAAACTGTAGTGGCTACTCACATCTCTGTATCGACAAAACCAGACCTCCAACACAGCTTTGCCAAGAGGACACAGTTCAGTGTTCTGGGCCTTAAGCTAACCACCCCCAACTGAGTTCACAGCTGGCTCAGGATCCTTGTCTGCCAGAAGGTTGGCCCAGCTTTTGCCTGAACCTATAGGGAAGGCTGGATGCACTCTTGACTCATAGGTATGGAAAACCAAGTCAGAGAGGTCAAGTTCTTTGCTCCAGGCCACCTGGCTGTGGCCTATACCACCCCATCCCCCACCTGGCTATGGACCACACCAGTCCATCTCCCAGGGTGCCTGCTGGGTTTTCTAGGCAGTTTTTCTAGCTCATTCTCAGGTTGGAAGGAGCTTTTCTGCTCCACTAAATTTCTCTAAAAACAAGTTCTAGATTCAAGTTCTACATGTGAAACCAAAGAACCTGCCTGTCTCGTGGATAATTATTTACACCGGCCACTACCCCAACTCACATCACTCCGAACCCCTCGCTCCGGAAGTGCAGAGACAAGCAACTAAAGATGGTCAGACTGGCTTTTGCTTTGGAAGAAGGGGGCATAATGACACCCAGATTCCCTAAGACCACAGTCCCTTCTGACCCGTGGGAGTAGGAGTGAGCCAGAGAGCGCAGCCGACATGAGCTACTGCACGGAAAATGCCCAGCTCTCCTGCGAGAGGTTAGAGAAACCCAGACCGGTTTGCTGTTCTATGATGTAATAGTCCCACTGCAATCCATTGCGAACTGTCATCACCATGTCTTGAGTTGGGAAGAGATGCACACAGGGAAAAGCTAACACAGGACAGCTCCAGCACACCGATGACGTTGAGGAGTGTGCCTCGGGGCTGGAGAGATGGCTCAGCAGTGAAGAGCACTTGCTGTTCTTAAAGAGAACCCAAGAACTCACGTGAGGTAGCACACAACCTCCCGTAACTCCAGCTCCAGGGAATCTGATACCCTCCTCTAGGCTCTGAGGGCACCTGCATGCATATGACATGCACACACACACACACACATACATATAAATAAAGATGGACAAGGGCATGTCAGTGAGATGCACTTCTGTCTTAATTAGGGTTTCTATTGCTGCAAAGAGACACACGGCAACTCTTAATAAGGAAAATGCTTAACTGGGGCTGGCTTCCAGCTCAGAGGTTCAGTCCACTATCATCACGGCAGGAAGCATGGCAGCATGCAGGCAAACAGGTGCTGGGGAAGGAGCCGAGAGTTCCACATCTTGATCTGCAGGCAGCAGGAAGTGAACGGCTACACTGGGCGTGGATTGGGCATCTGAGACCTCAAAACCCGCCTGCCCGAGTGGCCGCTCCCTCCAGCACGGCCACACCTCATCGTAGTGCCGTTCCCTATGAGCCTACGGGGGTCATTTTCTTTCAGGTCACCGTAGCCTCCAGTTGCATGTGGCTTAGATTAGAAATGACAGCACATCTCCCGTGAATTCCTTTAACAGTTTAGGACCGCTGTGAGACCTTAGACAGGGCTTTAGCCCCTGTGCAGTCCGTAGTCTCCTAGGAAAAAAGGTCTTAAGCAAATAATTCCACACTAAGTGGCACATTGAGTTGAACACCCAGACTACTCACTCCTTGAGAAACACCCTCTGTGTTGTTGTTGTTCTTCTGCATCAGAATGCAAAGTGGGAGACTGTCTTCTAGTTCCGGAGCGTGACGTGTCCTGACATCTTCACCATGCTTTTGTTCAGCCTGGGATATTTGACGTCAGGGTCGTGAGCCTTGCTTTCACGGATTTGCTTCTGTGTTGCCCTCTAGGTTGTCTTTGAAGCCTTGCACAATCTGGAGCCCCGAGGCTATGTCGTGGGGTGGATCATCGCCATCAGTTTGCTGGTAGGGATCCTCATCTTCCTGCTGCTGGCTGTGCTGCTGTGGAAGGTGAGTCTGGTGCCCACAGGTGCCCGTGGGTTCCCACCCAGGATGCCAGGTCTCGGGCCTCCCCCGGGCTGGAGGTCCATGGAAGACATCACAGGACAGGAGCAAAGGAGGTCAGCAGCCCCTTCGGGCAGGGGATGGAATCTTGCCTCCTCTTGGAGCACTTTAGGGAGAGAGGGAGAGAAGGGACCTCCATCACCCTTCTTATGTATCCTCAGAGAGCTAAAGCCATCCCGACACGGTTAGTGCCGTCATTGCTCCAGGAGATCACTCGGGTTCCCATAAGATGACTGGTTGGGCAGTGACTCACAATGGGTGATATGTGGGCAAACAGTGCTTTTCCTAGAGTCCAAGGTGACTCCAGTTGAAGACAGCGTCATCTGTGACTTTGGAAGGAAGTAAGAGAGGTCAGGTCAGGCCCTGCAGATTTTCAGATAGACAGTCATTAAGAGACAAGCAGAGCCTGACCCAGAGGTAAGGAGGCACACATGAGGGCAGAGATGTCAGACCTTTGTCCTGCTTTTGAGCTAACTTATGGGCACAAGTGAATAACCAGTGTCCTTTGGCAAAGCAGTTTTCAAATGCCTGTCACAGGAACAAGCTCTGAGAATATTATGGGTGGATTATTTTAATCCAAATGCTTAATTTCTTTGGGATTACAAAACAATATGCATGAGTTGATCAAATATGATAACCTAATGAGGAGAAGATGCATGTGGCATCATGGAAAGAGCCATGGTGAGTACGGTGTGTTCTCCGTCTTGGCCTGTTTCTCTGCATGCACAGATGCAAAGGAAGCCTTCTCGTGGGGTCAGCTGTTCATGGGCAACTTGTGACTTAAACTATCCAGGCGTGTGCTCAGTTGTGTGTTCAGGTAAAGTACTTATAGAGCCACAGGTTCAGTTCCAGCCTGTGGACACTCACATGTGTCCACGTGTACTGTGGCTCACGTGCGGGGGTGAGAGGAACACCCTTCAGGAGTCAAGCTCTCCTTCCACTGTGTACGTTACTTTAAACATAAAAGGATGGCTGGCGAGATGGCCCCACCAGCAAGGGAGCTTGCTGCCAAGCCAAGCAGCCCAGGTTTGACCCCTGGAACCTGAAGGGTGGAAGACGAGCCAGACTCCCACAAGTTGCCCCCCGATCCCCGCATGGACTGATTGGATAACAAGCCGAGAGGAGGTTGGAAGACCTCCCTGGAGTACAGACACTTTGTCACTCCTATTTCTACATCCACAACCTAAAGACAATGCATTGTGGGTATTGAGTAGCAATCCCATGTCACTCGGATGGCACAGCACAGAGAAACCAGCTGGAAACGGCTGAAGTCCAGCCCGACATCTGGCTGTCTGACTTCACCAGTTTGGGCCTATTGCCGTCCTCCGAATGTAATCCTCTCCCCTCCCCTCCAGGGAAGCCTGGCTGGCACCTGCCACCCAGCTGGCCAGGAAACGTACCTCTAAGAACACACACTAAACAGATGGCCAGAGGTCAGGTCCTCTTCCCGTATGGAAGCATCTACTGAATTCCCTTCTACTCTGTTTCAGTTTTGTAAAATAATTCTTTTGTGGGGAGCTGGCGATGGTCGAAGGACAGCTAGCAGAATGTGTCCTCTCCTTCCACCACGTGGGTGCTGGAGACTGAGCTCGGGTCGTCAGGCTTAGAGGCAACCTCCTCTGCCCACTGGAGTGCCTGTGAGACCCCTGCGTTCCCTTTCACAGTGCCTCTGGACACTGTTGCCTGTGGTGGTCATCTGGGGACCAAAGATGGTTGTCCCCAAACAGGGTGGTCTAACCATAGAGGCCGCTCTGATACTGAAAACTCAGTGGAAAAGCTGGCTCAGAGTGCCATGCGGGTTTGTGGATCTACACACTTTATGCTCACTGGGTGGCCAATGACTTCATTCACCCGGGAGCACTGGGTCCCTGCTAGGTGCCATACGCCAAGTAACTGCAGAGGCAAACGGCAGACTTTGTGCTGTTTTGAAACCCTCTGAGAGAGGTGCCCCTGGCAGAGAGGAGCAAGCAGGGCTTGGCCTGGCTCACGAGCCCCTGACCCTTGTGACGTATGTCCTTTGGCATTCCTGTCTTTCTGAAGCAAAAACGCTCTGGGGTCCCACAAATGAGTGTTCCACAAATGCTAAGTCCCGGTCCTTACGCTTGCACTCAGCCCACCCAAGCTCCCCTCCACCCCTGCCGTTACTCTCCCCAACCTTCCTGAAGGGCCTGCTGATGGCCCAGACTTCTCTCACGCCTGGCGGCAAAAGGACCTGGCTCCTTCACAAAATCCACAGCAGGGCCCCAAGCTCAGCAGAGCCCTGAAATGGATCATAATCAACCTTCTCAGAGCTGAGCAGTCCGAGGACACTGGGAACCGTAATTTAAACGTGATGTGCGAGGATTACAGTAGCCTGCCAAACCACTGCACAGGAGGAAGACTTTGAAACGTGAAACTCTTTCAAGGGAAAAAATCCAAAACATTCCCTCTCCCTTGCTCCAGCTCCTGGCTGGGTTGGAAGACACCCCAGCTTGGTGCCTCTTCCTAGAGGCCTGTTTATGGGAAGGTTGAATTGTTCAGAGGAACAAGAGCGTGGGGCTACCATGTCTGAGAAACAAACACCTTCAACTCATCACACCAGCCTGAGCTAAGCAGAGAGAGAGGGTGTTCTCCCTGCCTCCCAAGTCCATTCTTTCTTGCTTACAGTTTGCCAGGTACACAGGCCACTCCTTCACTGAAGGAAATTGTCCCCTGACGTCAGCCAAGGACCCTCCTTGATTTTCTCTCCCGACTGATACTTTTTCAAGCCCAGGTGACTTAAAACAGAGTACCGTTGTTCTGCCAGGAAGACCCAGTCCGGACTGGTCAGGTGACATGGAAGCAGGAGGAGCCTGGCTACCCCTGACAAGAGCTACTCAGGGGCCTCCTTTAGCTAGAACTGTTCCCAGAGCCTGGTGTTCTAGTGCTTTCTTAAAAAGCACGGTTTTTACTGGAGAGCATCACTTATAACTCAGAACAAAAACGCTTGCAATGGACATCGGCGGAGTGGCACAGAGAGCGTGGAAGGTTTGGCAGCCACTCCAGGGGTCACTGGGGTCACCAACTTGCCTCCTCAGGCTTCCCAAAAGAGTGTGTAGTCATGTGCACCCATGGAAGACACTCCCCCTCCCCAGAGCCCTCTCCTGTTGTCGCCAAACAGGGTGCGCACCACTAAAAAGCATGTGTCAGTGACATGCAATGGGACTGGTTTATATTTGGAAGTAAATATTGGTCTAATGCTGTACCTCAACATCTCAATATGGAGACATGCTATGTAAACAGACAAGTCTGAGAGACCCGTACACACAAGGTTCCAAGCTAATTCAAAGGAGGAGTGGACCCAAGGTCCTTGGAATGGCCAATGCACAGATGGGCGCCTCTAAGAGCCCAGATGCCCTGGAATAGTCCTGCCGCCCTTACCACCCTAAAGTGGGCTGGACCGCAGGAGAAGGACCTCAGAATGGGATCAGTCCTCGGCTCATCCTCCGGTTCATTGACTCAGCCAGCACCCGCCTAACTGGGCTGCTCGGGGAGAACCTGCCACTGGGCTGGTTTCCTGGCAGGTTTGGAGACACATCCTGTTAGCCTGCAGGGAGCTGCTGTTTGGAGGTGCAGACTCTGTCAGGACCAGAAGGCACTCTGCCTCCCCAGGCCTCCAGCTGAACAAACCTTGAAGTAGGCATGAGCTGGCTCAAAGGGTGGTTTCTCCTGCAAACAGAATAACTATAAACAAAACATCTGACCCTTCGTGGAACGCAGACCTTGGATGATTCCAAAAAGGCCTCATGAAAAGCAACTGATTCCACTGGTTGGGAAGTGTGGGGTCGCTATGGATACAGTGTATGCTTGTTAATCATTTCCCAGAAGTCTCAGGGTGCGCTCAGTGGACGGCCCAAGACTTCCCAGAATTCTCCCCCAGATATACCCAGGATTGCTAACAAAAGTGAGTGCGTGTGCCCAGGGGAGGCCTGCAAGAGAGGAAAGCACACCAAGCCTGGAAAGTTACCGGACATTTCATAATTCGCGCTGCTTCAGAGTATATCCACACTTTAACACAAGATTGACAGTTTGTATCTGGTCCTTGAAGTTCCCTGAGATTAACACTGCATCGTTCTTAAATACACAAATGTTACCATGTGAGACGGGGCCAAGCTCTCTAGTCTGATCATAGTAGACATTTCTCAGTGTGTACATGTATCAAAACATCATGTTTAATACCTTAAGCATGTTTTTAAATCTGTCACCCTTGCCTCAAGCTAGGGGAAAGCTCTATGGGATTGAGTCTAGGACCCAGTGTGTGCCAAAAGCAACTGCTCTAGCACTGGAAACAATTTTTAGAACTAAAACGTATCATGCTACTGATTCTCCAGCTGCTAAGAATGGGGTCTTTTTGTTTCTCCGGTTTTACTTTGTGTTGAATTTGTATATCTCCTTTTAGTACCTGGGTTCTCAGCCAGGCCTGGTTACTAATAGCTTTAGTCTCGGCACTCAGGAGGCGGAGGCAGATGGACCTCTGTGATTGCGAGGCCAGCCGGTCTACATAGTAAATACTAGGCCAGCCAGAGCTACATCGTGGTACACTGCCTTAAAACGTGTGTGTGTGTGCATCTTTGTATGTCCATACACACATACACACACACACACACACACACACCACACACACACACACACACACACACACACACCACACACACACACACACACACACACGTGTGGATTCTCAGATTTTACCTGGAGACTCTGATTATGATATGTCTTGGTAGACTGTGGTCTGCAATACCTTATGGTCTGTCGTAGTAGACTCTCTGTCTACCAGCCTGTTGGCATGATTTTATGATATAAAGATGTCTAAAGAAAGGACACATAGATGGGGGACGTCCCGACTTGACTCCCACCTCCGATATTTAACTTTGGAGGCTGCTAATGCCCAGGCATCTGGGGCTCAGATCCTGGCAGTAGGAGCAGGCAGGAGTGGGCATACAGCATTCATGACATGCTGGGACTGTAGGTTTGAGGCTCTTGCAGCCCTTCCTGAGAGTATGTGAAGAGCTACAATCAAGACAGGTGTAGGCATGGGACCTACTTGCTAGATGATCAGGAGGGCGACGCTGATGACTAACTGGCACAAGGTGCCATACAGTGTGGTGGCCATGCAAACTAATACTCACTCATTCACTCGTCCATCCATCTGTCCATCCATCCATTCTTTGTGCATGCTTGCACGTGAGTATATGTGCGGGCGTGTGTTGCTGGGAATTGAAGCCATGATCCTGTGTATACCAGGCAAGTGCTACCTATGTCATTCCCAAATCCTCTTACCTTTTGTTCTTGATGGCTTTCACATCACCTGCCTAAAAATTTGTGTTTGTTAGAATAAGACGCTCTACGGCCATCTGCTGGGAAGTGGTCCTCGTAACCTTTTCTTTGATAGCCGGCAAGCCCAGCCCCCATGCACAGTGCTTCGCCTGGACTGCCACCCTCAGCATTCCCTGGCACAGGAGCACACTGTGTCTTTAAGCAATGGTCTTTTGAAGAGAAAGTCCACATCCGTGGCACCTCAGCCTCCCCTGCACATCGTCACTCCTAGGTTGACTTCAGGGTCAGAACTCTTAGGGAGAGTGGAGTTTACAGCCTGAATGTGCGCAGGCAGCTGGGTTGGTCCTCTGAGGGAACTCCCTCCCGTTGTCTGCAGGAGAGAACAGTGCCTTTACCGGTGGCAAGGATGACATCGTACACAACGGAAGGGACATAAGAGTTGCCATTGCATTAGTTGCGTAAATCCTTGCAGCACACCTTCTGGCCTCTGACGGCATCGCACGTACATGGCACTCACACAGATGTGTGGGCACAACACTTCATGAACATAAAATAAGTGTTTTTAAAAAGGTGAGTCTCTCCACACCAATCAATTTAATCAAGATAACCCCCCCTTATAAATTATGTTCAGATAATCTCCCAGGTGATTCTTGAGTCTCTCGGGTTGACATTGATACCAGCCACCACAGGCTACAAGAGCCACTTAAATGCTGGATAGCGGCCATTGTAATGACTGTGTGAGATAAGCCGGGCGCTCATCTTACATGTATGAAAAGCCACAGACCAATGCAGCACCAGAACCAGAATAGAAGGAAGTCTTCTGAGTACAAAGCTGAAGCAAGCTGCCACCCTGAATGAGGATGCAGAACCGGTTCTACGGGAGTCCACAGTGTTGATGCCATAGATACCAGGAATGCCACAGACAGGAGGAAGCTCTAGAGAAAGACAAGGCGGAATGAGATCCCATGGATACTTTCAAAAGTTTGTTGCTGGGCGTGGTGGCACATGCCTTTAATCCCAGCACTCAGGGAGGCAGAGCCAGGCAGATCTCTGTGAGTCTGAGGCTAGCCTGCTCTACAAATTGAGTCCAGGACAGCCAAGGCTACACAGAGAAACCCTGTCTTGAAAAAAAAAAAAAAAAAAAAGTTGTGTGAGTGTGAGAGCAATGTTTGTCAAACAGGTCCACAGATGGCTGCTGTCTCTCAGGACATTAATAAGTGTATAAGGATTGAGGAACTTACCTTAGTAGGTAAAGTGCTTGCCACACATGTGTAAGGACCCATGTCCATCTCCAGCACATGAATAAAGGCAGGCACAGTGGCCTTCACCTGTCCTCCCGTTGCTGGGATCCCTGGGAGGTCCGTACAGACACTGGCCAGCCTGGCCTGCTTGGTGCCATCCATGCCACTGAGAAACTCATTTCAAAAGTCGAAGTGACCAGCTCCTGAGGGAGGACCCAGTTCTGACCTCCACACGCAAATACACACACAAGCATATAAACACATAGACACATATACACAAGCATGTGTAAGCATGTACGTGCATATGCACGTATACACATACATACACATACAAATAAACACAAGGACCTCTGCACAGAAACACATAAGCAGGAGGAAAAACAGCAATTAAGCTCAAGAAATGGTGGCTTTTGTGCATGAGTAGTCGATTCCTTTGCTTGTACTACTGTCTATCATAGATGTCTAGAAGGATGCAGCTTCTTTCCAGCTTGACTGACTGTGACATGTTTATATTTTTGCATCACTGCAAACACCTCTGAATAGCCTCCAGCAAGTGATGTTTTCCAGCACGCAGCACTGCTAGAAAACTGTTCCCACAGCCTGTGTGATGACCAGCTTGCTGGGAGATAGACAGTAGGAAGTCAGTGTGGTTTGAAAGGGGATCCACATTAACTCTTTGCTTGCCAGTATGTTTCTAAAAACAATCTCACCTGAAACGTTCTTCCAGCATCCCTGACCCTGGGAAGGACCAGGTCCTGCCTCCTTACAGCTCAGGCTGCCGTGGCACCCAAAGCTCGTCCTGTCCTAACCCAGAGCTTCTTCTGTCTTTCAGATGGGCTTCTTCCGCCGAAGGTACAAAGAGATCATTGAAGCCGAAAAAAACCGGAAAGAAAATGAAGATGGTTGGGACTGGGTCCAGAAAAACCAGTGACCCACCGTGCCAGTCATGTGATGCCCTCATGTCCCCGTCACCAGCCTGTGGTCCTTGATCTTTGTATCTTCCATATTTGGAAGAAAGAAATCTTCTCCAGATTTTTCGGAGGCCCCACTGTTGCTGTAGTCTTCCTCACCCTGTCAAGCCCGGTACCGACCTGAGACGGCCACCTCCAGCCAGGTCACACGACTGGGGCCAACACCACTTCCCTTCACAGAAGAAACTCAGAACTTCGGAAAGACAAGCTACAGAGCAAAGCAATATTTATGGATGCAACATTGAGCGGTCAACCCTCAGGGGAAAACTGTTACCTAAAAGTATTTTTTATAAATGTAAGCCTTTTATATTGATCATGTCTTTATATTTGTATCAATGGTTTATTATTTCTATTAAATAGTTCTATAATTCACTCAAGCACTGAAACCTTGGAAATACATGTACCTGCATACAAATTTTAAAAAGAGAAGGAACTTACTGTACTTTGGAACTTGTTAGGAAAAAAAAAAACCTTGCAGATAAACTGAAGAAACCTCATGAAATGAATCCACCAAGCTGGGAGTACTACAAAAGCACCACGGACATGGCAAGAGCACCTAAGACATTTCCCATGGTTTTCACCTGAAGTCAAGTTCAGAGAGCTTGAAGAAGTATCAGTGCTTTCGCTTATGGACCCCCCCTGGGAGATTCTCAACAGGAACTGAGTTGGAAAGCCTGATTTCCTCATAGCAGATGCTCTGTATTACCCTAATGCATGCATCAGCCACTGCATCCTCCCTATGGAGTCAGCAAGTACTGGATGGACAACTGGTCAACCTCGGAATAACATCTCTTTCTTTCCAGACACCATGCACCAAGGACCACAGCCCAGGACTGAAGCTGTGCTCATTCAGCAAAGACCCGTGCCTGTGTGTGTACAGCCTGTTACTTTGCAGTGTGCGACTTTAGTTTAAGGGTCTCCATTTCCTCACTTCCTCTTGCTGTCCCCAACTGGTAATGTTGCAGGTTCCTTCCCAGAGAGGGACACCCTACTTGGTTTATGTTTATGTTGTAGGTGGGATTTTCAAGAGTCAACCCCTTAAATAGGACTTGGGTGCAAGTAATTTATTGAGGATTTCTTCCCAGAAGGTAATAGTGAGGAAGTGGAGAACACAGGACAGGGAAGTAGGGGAAGCCAGGGAACAGTGTCACTTCAGGAGACCACCCATGAGGTGGCGTCAGCCCAGTGGGACCTCGTGGGCAAATCAGGCTCAGGAGTCTGGACTTTTGTGGTCCCACACCTGCAGGGGATATAAACATCCTGCCCTCTGTTCTTGCTGACAAGATGACTCTGCCCTCTAGAGGAGAGCTTTGGGGGCAGCCTCAAGTAGGGAGACCCAGAAATCATGCAAAGAACTCTGAGCTAAACCAAGAGCTTTAGTGTCCACTCCCCCATACAAGTGAATCCTTCAGCTTTAGGTAACCAAAACAGCCAGGAATCAAAACTGATCCCAGAAGTCAAATGCTGCATCTGACTCTGGAATGGAGACTGTGGTTGCCGAAGGAAGGGGCAGCCCAGGAAACCAGTCAGTGCCTAAGCTTTGTCAAAAGAAAGAAGGAAAGAAGGAAAGAAGCCAGGTACAGCCTGGACTGTGCGTCAGGCATTGTGCTGGGTGCTGGGAGGAAGAGAACACAGCCACCTCTGGCTGGTAGGCCCTCCCACAATAAGTGTGGAGTGTGGATTCTTCGTGAACTCCATTTGCAGCTGTTCTGTGGTGATGATGATGTGTGAATCACACCATGGTTTCCTTTAATAAATCACTTGGGATTGTTAGTTGGTAAAGCCACCACTGAACCAACTGCAGTTTTAGGTGATTGCATCTGTCCCCACTGGCTTGCTTTCTGCAAAGGGTATGGCTACACCAGGGTCAGGATAACGGTAACTCTGATGCATGGTTCAGCTAGCCAGCAAAGCCACACCTGAGGAAGCATGGATAAAGAGGAAGGACAGACTCTGCTAAAAATGCCCACTTGTGCCTGATCGTGAATGGTGGACCCTCAAAGTTGGAACATGCCCAGAAGGTCATCACAATCCATGAGGCAGATTCTAAGAAAACTATATAGTAGCCCCAGAAGCAAATCCTAACAGCCATTGTAGGGAAGAGAAAGCATCTTTGCCTATCTGATGATGCTGAGTGTCCCATGACAGGAGAGCGAGGGACATGGCTGCTTGGCACAGAGGCCGAGAAGGAGGTGGAATGTTTTCTTGGAGTTCTCTCAACTGAGTAGTGTTGAGCCTTCTGTAGGCTATGGGGGGAAGTGGGCAGGGGGTTGGTGTTCCTGTGTTACCTCTCTCTAGAACACTCTTTTAAAAACCCGCTGTGTAGCCTATTGCACCCTTCTGCCTCTGAGTTCACTATGGAAGCCCCTCAGACACTCTCAAGGGTGCTATCCATGGTTTTAACCAGATCTCTGGACTGGACTGAAGCAGAGTTTTTGTTTGTTTGCTTGCTTGCTTGTTTTTGTTTTTAAGATGAAGAGGGGCCCCTTTTTAAAATTGCCTAAAGCAATGTCCATTTAAAAAGAAAGTCAACCCCCTTCTTCTCAGTTTACGTAGAAGTCAAGAAAGTCTACATCATCCCCAAAGTGAGCCCTGCCACAAAGAGGTCATGAGAGTTGGAAGCACAAGAACCCTAGCATGAAAGACCCGGGCAGCTGGCCTTGTGCTGGTTGACTAGTGCACACCCGGTGTCCCTGTCACTGTCCCTCAGGCAGCGCTTTGGGAAAGCACCTCAGTGCTCAGAGGTTTGGTAGGCTGTGTGAAGTCCCCCCACACCAAATATTGCGTGACTTCCTTTGCTAAAGCCAAAGCCAAGGATATGCTCACCAAACAGCAACCATGCTCCTGGGGCACCCCGGTGAGCAGTGCCGTCTGTTGAGCACCAGTGTGGTGAGTGTGGAAATGTTATGCACGTTTATCTAAGGATGAGATTACCTGGAAAAAAAATGGGCTGAATTTCTGACTTCCTGAAAGTCAGAGGTACCACAAAGCACTGTTATTTGAGGGGTAGACTGGGATGGACTGGGATAGAGCTCAGTGTCAGAATGCCTGCTTCACAGATGCAGAGCACCAGGTTCATTCCCGGCTACCTCCCCAGAAATGCTACTGGGAGACCCACCCTTTAGTAAACAAAAGGCAGAAACTGAGCGTCCTTCACAGTTCCTCAAGAACACAGAATTTTAATAGACGTGGGTTTTGACAGTGGGGAATGTTTTCTCTGAGGATGGCTGAAGGGCGGCTGCAGAGCCAAGGGGGCCAGATGAGCCTTCTAGAATGTCTTCTGGGTTTTCAGCACAGTGGGGAATGGTGGGCGGGTCCCCCGACGCGGTGTGATGCTCTCCCCAGCTGACCTGGGTTCTGCTTTGTTAAGGTGTTTGGTTTGCTGCTTGGAATCTGATGTGTGGCTGGCAGTGTGGGTTTACGCTTTCCAAGCGGTTTGTTGCATGGCAGGCACGCCTGCTCTCTGCATGTCTGCAGCTTCCCTGAGGTATACACACACACACACACACACACACACACACACACACACACACACACACTACCCAGGAGGATTTGGGAGGGGGCTGTCCCTCCTCCCTGTGTCATGTGTATTCAAGGCTCCTCAGTCACTTCTGATTCACTTGCACTGTTTGGAGATGCCAGGTTTACAAAAATATGTGTTTGGAATAAAAAGGAAAAAAAAATGGCTTCAAACGCTCCCTGTGTTTCTGAGTGCAATTTCTCTGCTGCTGAGGACTTGCTAAGGTTCTGAAGAGGGAATGCCAACACAATATGATGCGAGCATTAAAGAGCACACCAGGGGCTGTCGACTCCCACAGGACCCTCCCCCCACGTGATGGGCTGACCTGTCCTTGAGCCCGTAATGGACACCAGTACCCCTGTGCCTTGGCTGCCTGCCTGGGCTGCACCTGGTGTCTGTCCGTCTAGAGAAACACACCTGAATGAGATGTCTGTATTCTCCTCACAGGCACACCTCTTCTACATGTGTGTGAGAGTCATTAAGCATTTGCCCAGGCTAGCCCCAAACTTGCTGTGTAGCCAAGGATGGCCAAACTTCCAAGCAGATTAGGATTGCCGGTGTGTGCCACCACATCTGGTTTGTCAGGTGGCAGGAAGCTCCAGCAACTGCGCTCACATGCCCATTCCGGCTGGAAGCTGCCGGCTCCCACACTTCTTGGGACACTGAACTATCTTAGATTTTAAATCTCTATTTGCTGGTTACATCTTCATTCTTATCACACGTACTTTTAATTTGTGGTACCCCTTTTTTCCTTTTTTTCCCCTAGATATTGCCAACAAAGATCTACCTAATATGTTGCTCATTCTTAAGAAGGAGCTTTTGGCGCTATGGATTCCATGTGTATGAAAATGTCCTCTACAGCCTTCATTGTTAAATTCACACACTGGCTGGAGAGCAGGCCCCGCAGCTCAGTACACTAGCTGCTCTGTTTTTCCTCACGATTCTCATTCACGGTCTTCTGCTCCTCATGCACTCATTAGTTGTTTATTTACTGTTGGCCAGTGGTTGGTGGCTTTCTTTAGAAATTCTCTGTGGTAAATCTTTGAAGCCTAGGATGACATGTGTTCCTGCAGAGAGGATTTGCCTTCACCTCTGCCAGGCTCCCTTCTGGGGTCAGGCCTTGGGGTTTTCACGGACCACCCATGGGATATGCACGGCAAATCTGTTCCAAGGCCAGCCTGTGGCTTCCTCTGCAGGGTGGGATTCCGTCAGCGCCCTTGCACTGCCCTGCGCTCTGCTCAATACCATGCAGCATTCTGCAAAGCCCTTGAGAGTCCTAGCCAGGGGCAGAATGCCTGTTTCTGATTGGCTCTTTCATCTGTTCATTCATTCATTCATTCATGATTCATTATTTATTATGTAGCCTGGGCTGGCCTGGGACCTGGAATCCTCCTGCCTCTCCCTCTAAGGTAATGAAATCACAGTCATAAGCCTCCACGGCCAGGTGAGCTGCCACATTTTAGGCCACTGAGTCCTGCAAGGCCTTCTGTTTTGTTAGCTTAGGAAAGAACTGAGGGACTCTCTTCGGTAGGCCTCTCTCCTACCGCCTTCATTCAGGCTTTGGCTTGGGAATTTCAGACTTCTCTTATGTCTTCAGTGGTTGCTTGGTTAGCTGGTTGTTTGAGGCTGTGTCTCACTCTGAGACCCTACGTAGGCCTGGAACTCACTAAGTAGACAGGATGGCAACAAATTCACAGAGATCTTCCTGCCTCTGACTCCCAAGTCCTAGGATTAAATGTGTGCAGTACTATGCCAGGCTTCTTCAGTGGCTTTAATATGTTCTTAAAACACTTTGTTCTTGGGCTGGGCATGATGGCACTCTCCTGTAATCCCAGCACTCAGGGAGGCAGAGGCAGGCAGAGTTCTGTGAGTTTCAGGTCAGCCTGGTCTACAAAGTGAGCCCGAGACAGCCAAGGCTACACAGAGAAACCTTGTCTCGAAAAACCAAAAATCAAAACAACGCATTTTAGTCTCAGGACAACAAGAAGACAGTGCAGCAGGTAAAGGCACCTACTGCCAAGTCTGCAGACCTGAGTTCAGTCCCCAGCACCTCCATATGGAAGGGGAAACTAGCCCCTGAAAGTTGTCCTCTGACATCCACACGGGCACCTCCTCCCGCACACTAATAAATGCATAAGTTACTTCTAACGTGTTAGGGTTCCTCCTGAGCATGCCTTTCCATGTTGTTGAGAGGGCCGGTCTACCTACATTCCAGGCCAGTACCTACTTCCCGAACGCACAGCCTCCTACTCTGTGTGTGGCTATACATAACGTTTTTACTATAAGACAAAAAACCTTCAAGTGTGCAGAAAGTTGAAAGACCTTTGTAGGAAACACCCAAGTGCTTGGTTGGCATCGAGATTTGCACCAGCATCTTGTTACATTTGGTTTGTCGTGTTTCGTCCAATCTTCTTTCCATGCAGTCATGTTTCTTGATATTCAAAGTTGTAGATTCGGTACGTTGTCTTCCGGATGTCAGCATGTGTTCCTGTTTGCTTGACCTGTAACCATATGTTCCATCTGTGATGTCTATTTGATTCTTCTGGAATCTGCTTGGGCAGTTTTTAGGTATTTTTTTATTCATGGTTTTTTTTTTTTTTTTTCATTTCTTTAAGCTTAGCTATTTCATGGTGTGAACGCCACTTCTGAGAGCTGCAGCCTCTGGAGATATTACCATTCACGCTGCTGTTCCTGCTCTTGCGTCTGTTTCCCTCACATGTTTTTAACTGTAAGCCTCTTCCTCAGAACGGATCTGTTGGAGTGTGACATAGTTTCCCCGTAGAACGTGTCCAAGAGACTCAGTAACGGGTACCGTTTAACATTAAATCCGGGGGCTCGTGGCCACCCAGCTGGTGAGCAGCCAGACTTTCAGAGAGCTCTCCTCTCCTGTCCAAAGCCAGAGGGCTAGCTCAGCTCTTGCTTGGTGTCCTTGCGGGGAGGAGGGGCAGCAGGAGTTGATTTCCCACGCCTCCTTGTGACAGCGCTCTCCGGCTCAGATGTACAGAAAGGAGATGGTCCATTCAGAGTCCTCTCCTTAGGTGACGCCAGGGCCGTCTCGGGTGCCTGTTCTCCCTGTGACACAGAACCTGAAACTCAAGGCTGCCTGGCTTGGCGATGAATTCAGAGCAGAACTGGACATCAGCTGTGGGCTTGCCAACCGCCCTGGCCTGGGCTCCGTAGCTCAGGGCTCTGCTCGCTGATCCTTTATATTCTTGCCACTTCATCAGTAATTTACGGCAAACAAACACAAATGCTTCAACTTTTAAAAATTACATTTGTTTGTTTCTTTCTTTTGTGTCTGTGTATGCATACATGCCTTCCAACCAACAGGCATGTATACGGCAGCATACATGTGGAAGTCATCAGTCCGTTCAGAAAAAATTTTCTCTCTTTCCGCCATGTGGTTCCAGGGATTGAACTCTGGTCGTCAGGCTTGGCAGCAAAACCCCTTACCTGCTGAGCCATCTCCCAGCCCCCAGCATTCATCTTCACTTCCAAACATTTCTGTGAATAGCTGACGTTTGTTTACGTTTGATCTAATTGGGGCTGGAGAGACTAGACGGCTCGGAGGTGGAGAGTGTGCTGTTCTTGCAGAGAGGCTGAGTGCAGTTCCCAACACCCACATCGGAAGGCTCATGACTGCCTGTAATTCCAGTTCCAGGGGACGTCATGACTTCTGCTGGCCACACACACACACACACACACACACACACACACACACACACACACAGGAGTATTAAATTTTTTAAATTGTGTTTGTTTTGTTTGTTTGAGGCAGGGTCTCACTATGTAGCCCTGGCTGGCCTTGAACTCTGAATGTAGATCAGGATGGCCTTTGACTATAGAAATCTGCCTGCCTCTGCCTCCCAAGTGCTGGGATTAAAGGTGTGAAACACCACACCCAGAAATTTTAATTCTTAAAAAGGAACAAAGGAAGGAAGGGAAGAAAGAAAGAAAAAAGAAGGAAGGAAGGAAAGGAGAGAGAGAAAGATAAAAGGAGGGAGGCAAGGAAAAGATGAAAACGAGAAGGGAAACCTACCTGCGCTGGAGAGGTGAACTACTGATGTCAACCTGGGGCCTCCACACACATGAGAACCCTAGCACACACGCCATACATGCACGCCTCAAAACTAATAGAATGAAGACGTGGTAATCTAGTATCAAGATCCAGCGATTCTGATCTGCGCCATCAAGAATTTGCCAGTGGGACTGAAGAGGTGGCTCAGTGGCTACCTGGGGCTCAGTTCCCAGGACCCACATGACAACTCACAACCGTCTGTAATTCCAGTCCCAGGACCTGATGCTCTCTTCTGGCCTCCACAGACACTCACACGGTGCACGGACGTACATGCAGTCAAAACACCCATCCATATAAATGAATGAATGAAGTTTACTATGTATACAAGGTTCTGGGAATCGGGGTAGTCACACACACCTGTAATACAAGAAGTCGGGAAGCTGAGGCAGGAGGATAGCCTTGAGTTTGAGACCAGTCCGGGCTACATAATCACACACACACACACACACACACACACACACACACACACACACACAGAAGGAGGGAGTCTGAGAGTGCCTACCGTGTAACATTTGTAAACATTATTGACTCCCTCTAGGTTTTCCATTCACTAGAGATGCCTTTGGGTCGAGGGTTTCATTAACGATGGACGATGCTGCAGACGGAGTTATTGGTAATCGCTCTATGCAGTAAAGCGTGTTTTCTGCTATGCTTGTGACTGTGTGCTAAAGCTTGTGTGACCCCAGGGGCTGACTGATGGAAAGAAGGGATCATGTGCGATTAGCACCAGCAGCATCTTTACTGGGGTGGGGTGGGACGCTGCTCATGCAGCCCCAGCAAATATTACCAAGCACTCACTTCCGGGAAATGGGTGGGGGTGGGTAGGATGTGTCACACAGCCCAGACAGATGTGACCTGTCCCTATCAGGCTGAAAAACCTCATTCCCTCCCAGTGACATCACAGGAAGGTGCTGACAGTTTCTGGGTTTGAAGCTTTTACAGTTTGAAAGGATTCAGACCCTGGCCTTTGGCAGTCTCTGCCCCGTGGCTGGAGCTGGCTTCTCTCAACTGCCATGCCAAGCCTCTCCCGTCCTGAACTTGTCCTGGACCCAGAATGCAGACTTCCAGCTCAGTTTTCCTTTGCATTAGGTTG